GTGTATGACTATCATGAAACATTTTTACGTATGTTAAATACTGTTGACATGCCAAAATCGCATTGGCTATTAAAATCACCGTTTCATATTTTTTATTTTGATAAATTGCTTCAACGGTATCCGAATGCATTATTAATCATGACACATCGACGTCTTGACGAAGTTCTTCCGTCAATGTATAAGTTATCATTGGCAATTGCTGACTCGTATTTTGACAAAACAAACTCTATCAGTCGCGATAGAATAATAAAACGATCTTGTCAATTTGTCGATAAAGAAATGGAATGTATGATGAAATTTCGAACATCAGAAAATGGTATACTTGCTCAATCGAAAAAACATATATTCGATATTACTTATGACAATTTGATGAAAGATCCAATTGGTGTTGTCCATCAAATATATGATTATTTTAATCTTCATTGTTCGAATGAAATGGAAATGGCTATGCATGATTGGCTTCTCAAAAATCCTCAAGGAAAACAAGGTCGTCATACATACTCACTTGCTGATTTTGATCTCAATCGGGAAGATATCGAAACACGTTATGCTGACTATATTAATTTGTTTCTGTCTTCGGATAATCAATCATCATCGACAACTTCTATTTCATCATAATTGAAACAATATCTCCTATTGACTTTGATTTAAATTGTTACTAGAAGTAGTTTAATAAGTTAATTGTGGAACCTTGAGAGTGTTGATGTGAACGTTTCATTGACTTACACTCACATTCTCATATACTCAAAAAGGATTTATAAAAAAAAGAAAACAGTACACGGGTTACAAACACTTGCCAAGGTTGATGAAAAAAAGATTTATGAAAGAATAGATTATACTCATATACCTAAAGAGGGCTTATCTAATGGTAATAAACGAGTAGTTAGAGTTTATTATTCTCCACTTATTTTTTACAGGGTGTGATTGGGTGTGAGTGTGCTAGGATAGATGACGAAAAATCCATACCTACACCCTAAAGTAAATCTAGAATGGTTTAAAAGGGAATCGAAATCAAGGTATTTGGGACGTGAGTACGAAAGTAAATCATTTAATTCTTTTAACTTCATTTTTCTTTTTATGTAAATAGATCATATTATAAGATGATATACATTCTATTTTTATGCTAGATGAAATGACATTACAAATAAATATGGAAAATAAAGAACATCAAGATAGTTGACTCAATCTTCAACTACGATATCTTCTTTTGTGTAAAACAACTAATCACAACTTTTTTTTTATTCTTATATTTTCAACAAAAAGATAACAGTTTATCTTTTCACATTCTCTTTTTAGTTTGTCAAAGATAAAAATTCTTTTTTTTCATATATAATTGCACAACTATTTTCATTCTTGTGAGATATATATATAGATGAGTGAATTGCAACTTTTTGGTATGATTGGTGCGAAAAACTGAAAGTAGATCATAACCATATATGAGCGGTGCATTTTATTATACTCTATGCCTATGTTACACAGCAGAAGTTTCCCAACACTTTACCGTATATTAGTTGAGATACGCCTTACTCCAATGTAAATGTACCATAAAAAATCAAAAATGTCCTTTTACAGCTCATCATATAACGTAAATATCTCGAGAACAATAAGAGATATAAGGCCGATTTTTTACATGGACATACAACTCTGAGAACTATATCTACAGTAAAAATTTAAGCGAAAACAAACTAGTCGTTCACGAGTTATTTACATAGTAAATTTCAAAAAAGTCCTTCTACATTTCTTCATATAATGTAAATTTCTCGTGAATGACAAGAGATAGACGGCTGAATTTTGAACCAATTATATAACTCTAAGAACTATACCTACTGTAAAATTTTGAGCCAAAACGGATGAGTTATTCAAGAGTTATTAACGATGAAATTTGCAAAAAGTCCTTCTACAAAGTGAGTAAAACTTGAATTTTTGGAAAAAGATCGTCTTTTTTCAACGAAAAGAAAAGGTGTTCGGAAGAAGTTTTTTTTATCAATTTGTTTTCCGCTCGATGGCCTTTCTTTTGAATACCTTCCCGTTCCTTCAAGTCATGGCCAGGGGGAGAAAACTAAGAAATGAGGTCCTTCTACACAAAAATGAAGAAGTGTCTGTAAATAAATATTTTGAGCGAAATGGCGCGAAAAAAGAGAGAGAGAAACACAAAAAATATATTATTCGATAGAGCGTTTCAAGCTGTATAAAATGGACTATTGACTATTATTTTTTTCTTTTCTTTGCTAGTTAGAAAATTTCCTTTTCTTAGCACATCTCTCTATAAAATACGATTTTTTTGCAGTGTAAGACCCATAGATCCGCGCCAGTACACGCTAGAGAGCTGAATTTTGCTGTGGCAGTGGGACAGTCAGAGACTTATAACACAGAAAAAAATCGTCCAGATCGGTCAACGGGAAGAGAAGTTATTAAGAAAATATAGCCAAAATCTCAATCGTACCAAAAAGTTGCAATTCACTTATATATATTCGAAACCTCGAAGAATAAATGTAATTTTTTTTTGATTAAACGATGTAATGTCTTCAATCGAAAGATTACCAGTTTAACGATTTCATCGTATATTTGATGATCTTGATATTGAAATTATTTTATTTTCAGCTCGATCTGCGTCAAGATTATGCTTCCTGTCAGTTGTTAATACTCATGATCGATTTATTTTCGTTTTTAAATCAGTGTGAAAATCAAAGTTTCATATGCTTTGTCAATTCATTAATCCTAAAAATCTAATATGATTAACAGTTGATAATAATGAATAAAGATTAGGTTAGATAGTTTTCTCTATTTTATTTGTTAATCTTCGACGATTGACTTAATTTCATTCATTAACTCTTATTAATATTGATGAATATGAATTGAACATGATCTTAAAGTGTATTAATAAAAATTTGCTAATTTTGTTTTCCTTTAATATTGGAAAATATGATGATCGAAGAGAAAACAAAAACAGCAAATGATCTTATATCAATTATAGAATAATTGAGTCTTAAAAAACTTCAATTAAACACTATAAATTTGAGATTACCAACAATTGTGTTGCCTCAAAATTCTGAACTCGAATATTTAAAATAATTTGAATAAATTGAGCAGAAAATTTTAAT